AAGAGCTTTTCCCCTGAGACTAGAAACTATCATGTCCTCATTCAAGACTGTAAATACATTTTCCAGTTTCTGCTTTTATTATATTCTGATCAGCAAATAGAAAATGGGGGTCAAAAAAGGTCAAAATAAGTTGCTCTTTTTTTCTCCTGATCTCAAAGAACAACCCCAGCACCCAAGTTTCTAAGAATAAAACAAAGCAATGGTGTGTATGGGTGTATGTCTCTCAGGTTAAGTCAAACCAAAGGTGCAATTTTTATTCCATCTGGCCCATAAAAATAGTTTGATGATAGACATAGCTCTTTCCAATACCTATGCACCAAAGCTTTTTAGGTACCTTAATTTCTAGATAGATGGTAAAGTGGTCAATTATCTAATCTTTTCTTTTTCGATTATCTAATATTAAGAAGTTTTTTAAATTTAGTACACTCAAGGCATACCATACAATTAGAAAGTTATTTTCTAGTCCCAGAAATGTAATTACTTATTTATAGATAATGTGTTATATTTTAACATTAACCATTTCTTTATGTTATTATAATCCACATATAAATGAAAATAAAGTTGTTAGCTTATTATCTTGAAATTTGTATTTGTTTATACTAGAGTTCACAGCTTTTATTTTTAAGGCAGCTACATGGTAGGTTATCATTAAATAACTCTGTTGTCTGGAATTAACCTCACTTTATATCAATAAACCAATAGTTTATTTATTCGATAAATATTTATAGAGCACCAACTCTGTGTCAGGCATTATCTGAGGTGCTTAGGATACATCACTCAATAAAAGACACAAAGAACTTTGTCCTCGCTGGGGAGAGAGACAGACAAGTAATAGCATAGTAAGTCTGTGAGGTATCTCCTGAGTGAGGAGGTAATAAGTGCTTTGAGGAGAGAAGGAGCAGAGAGTGATGAGGATTCAGAGCGCAGACTGGCAGGGTGTTTGGAGCAAGAGAATTTGGAGCTCAGACTTGAAATCCATGCACAGATCTGGAAGACAATTTCAGACAGAGGAAACAGCCAGTACAAAGGCCCTAAGGTAGGAGGGTATCTGGCATGTTGGAGGAACAGAAAGGAAGCCAAAATGGCTTGAGCAGAGAGGGGGATGGAAAGAAGAATAGGAAATAAGATCAGAGAGATAGCAGGTTTTGGAGTAAATAAACTAATAAAAATCTTTTGAGAATTTAGATCACTGTTTCCATGTAGTATACTATATTTCATCTTATACCCGATAATAATATTCCCTTAACTATCTTCTGACAATTAATTTCTTACTGAAACTAATTTCATATTCCATATGACTGGTATAATTGTACGATTTCATTTAATTTAACATTCTCTATGTCTAAGTTCCAGTTTGTAGCTAATATTGAAAAGTGATTTTAAAAAATAAGGCAAGCATTCACGGGATGCCTGGGTAGCTCAGTGGGTTAAAGCCTCTGCCTTCAGCTCAGGTCATGATCCCAGGGTCCTGGGATCCAGCCCCGCATCGGGCTTTCTGTTCAGCAGGGAGCCTGCTTCCCCCTCTCTCTCTGCCTGCTCTCTGCCTACTTGTGATCTCTGTCTGTCAAATAAATAAATAAAATCTTTAAAAAATATATAATAAGGCAAGCATTCAATTATTCAGTCAACTTGAACTACATTATGAAAAAAAATTCTCTGTGCTCTCATTCATGAGTAAAATAATATTGCTTTAAAATATTTATGTTGTCGGGCGCCTGGGTGGCTCAGTGGGTTAAGCCACTGCCTTCGGCTCAGGTCATGATCTCGGAGTCCTGGGATCGAGTCCCGCATTGGGCTCTCTGCTCAGCAGGGAGCCTGCTTCCTCCTGTCTCTCTGCCTGCCTCTCTGCCTGCCTCTCTGCCTGCTTGTGATCTCTGTCTGTCAAATAAATAAATAAAATCTAAAAAAAAAAAAAAAAAAAAATTATGTTGTCAAACGAAGACACAGTATTTGTAAATTTAAAACATTTCTCCAAGAATTAGATTCTTAAGCATGACAATGCCACAGTTTGGGTTTATTTTTTAAGAAATTATCAAACAATCCTACCAGGAAATGTATTTTAAAAATGTAAGCCACATCTTTCAAAACAGATAAAGAATTTGATAAATGCCACAACAGCTGCACTTTCCTAAAGAACCATGTTGTCACACTGTCACCTAAACGTATCTACCTAGCATGTCGGGATATGCATGCTTCTACTGAAATGGATGCTGTTATTGGGAGACTGAACAAAACAAAGAAGTGTTTGGTGATGTCCATAGTATAGAAGCAAAAAAACAACTTCACTTAAGTCATACACAGTGGATCTGAAATCATATCAAATCAAGACAAGACAGGTACCAAGGTTACATTGTACGAGGAGTATGTGCAATGGGAGATATTATGGTGTCCAGTTTTGAATAATACAATGTCCCACATATATTATCTTAGAATCATGGAATTTCAGCATTTGAAAGGACTTTTTAACTTACAGAATGGTAGCCATTTTCCCTATTTTATTGAAATATAGCTAGCTGTGCTACAGTTGCTTTTGCAAGAGAGACCATATGACCTGAAAAGCCCAAGGTATTTACTCTGACATTTACAGACAAAGCTTGCTGACTGTAGATAGTATATTGATTAAACATATGGGCACTGAAGTTAGACTACTAGGATTCAAATCTCCTCTGCAAGTGGTCAGTTATATTGCTTTGGACAAGTTACACAGCCTCTGGACTATTACTTCCCAACCTATATAATTGGGGGAAATAGTAAAGTCTGTCATTAAATTGTGAGCATTAAATGAAAAAGGATATAGTACACCCTCATAAATGCTAAATCTTATTGGTAGAAATACCTACAAATAGCAGCTAGGTCAACTATCCACTCAAAGTTTTATACTTGTCTCCAAAGTGCCATCTACTACAGATTTTAGCACAACTAGCGATGCAGGAAGCCCATTTTATTTTAATCATTCTGTTAGAAAGTTCTTCTTCCACTGAGTTGAAATCTGTCTTTTTATAGCTCTATCCTATTAATCCCTCAAGGAGAGGTTCTACAGAACATCTCTTCCAAATAGTAGGATCTTCAAATATTTAAAAAGGGTTTCTCTAAATCTTCTCAAGACTTCATATCTCTAGTTCTTTTTGTTACTTCTTCTAAAACACAGTATGCATCCCTTTCTCACTTCGGTCATTCTTTTTAGAAGGGAATATAAAGTATTTACCCAGGAATTGGCATAAGATTTCAGACCGATAGATTCAGACCTTTACTCCTCAAACACTCCATATTATGCTGGTCATGTGTGTTTTATGCTACATAGTCTTTTTCCACCCCACCCTGTTCTGGAAGAGTTAATATTTTTAGACACAAAGACCTTGTGTTTACCGTTTTTATGTTTAATCTAATACAGCTCCAGTCTCTCAAGATCTTTCCAGATGTTGGTATTATTGTTTAGAACATTCACTGCCCCCATCAGCTTCAATCACCTACACAGACTTCTGATGTCTTGATTCAAAAGATCAGTAAGTTTCCCATTAAGTTGAAATTAATACAATGAGTAGTCCTGAACTTATTTAGAGCAACTAATATTGTTTTAGTAATCAAATTGCCTTCCCCTTGGATTTCTATCACCCTAATCACTATTTATTTGCTGGTCTCATTTGGGGTGTCATTCATCTTATTGAAAGAAGTTGGAAGCAAATGTAAATTAAGACAGAAATATCTTTCTTTCTGTCTTTCACTATTATACTTTAAAACAAGCTGTATATCTGTATTAGTCAGGGCTCTCCAGAGATACAACCAGCGGAATATGTACATATTAAGAGAGAGAGATTTGTACTAAGGAACATGTTCACGTGATTGAGGAGGCTTGTAAGTCCAAAATCTGCAGGGAAGGCCAGCAGACTGAAGACCCAGGAAAGAGCTGCAGTTCAAGTCCACCAGCAATTGGCTGGCAGAATTACTTCTTGCTAGCGGGGAGTCAGTCTTTGTTCCAGTAAGGTCTTCAACTGATTGGTTGGGGCTCACCCACAATACAGAGGACGTAATTTCTACTCAAAGTCCAATTTACATGTTAATTTCATCCAAAGAAAAAAACACCTCCATAGAAACATCCAGAACAATGTTTGAGCAAATATCTAAACACCGTAGTGTAGTCAAGTGAAATATAAACTAACCATTTTGGTATCTAACTCTTTTTAAACTTTTTCTTAAATTGAAAATAGCTAAAAATCTAGTGCATAGGATGCCTAGATTTTGTTTCCATAATTTTTCCTTTGATAGCTATGTACTCTGTTATATAAAACCATGGTTAAGTGTGTGTCTAAGTGGATAGTCATGATAAAAAATAACCAATTAATTTTTGTTACCATATACAAATACCACATTTTAACACATACCTTGAGTTTAATATTTCATGAGTCCACATCAATAATGAATTTTTTTCTGTACCTAAGAAAAGATTAAGGGTAGGAGAAATTAAAAAGCGACAATGATTTTTAAGGTGAGCTCTAGTCAAGGTTTCAGAATATAGATGTCACTTAAAGTATGGATATGTCAGCGTTCCTTAACTCATTCACCTATTTTTAAAATTCCATTTTTTATATTTTAAATTTTTAAATTGACACTTAAATTCCAATGCTACTTCTACAAATGATTTCACAAGATTGTCAAAACAAATAGCTATATAAATAATAATAAGATGTCTAAGCATTAAATGTCACTGCAATGCAATATTTGTGAACAAATTATACTAGAATAAAAAATGCCAACATGCTGTCTCTGGAAATTAGACTTTACTGAACTAGTATTTTGGGTCTATACTGTTATGAATCTAGGTTTTGAAAAATGTGAGGGTTTTTTTTTCTTGATTAACTTTTTATGATAAATAGAAATTATTAATATAGAGACTTCAAGAGATTCTAAAAATTTTTTATGAATCTTACTAATAATTCCTCTTTTTTTTTTAATCTGAATTGTATTGTTCTCTTTTGTTATACTTTTAAATTTCCTCTCTTTAGGTTTGGATGTGTGGAGGAGAGATGTTTGATGTCCCATGTTCTAGAGTTGGTCATATCTACAGGAAGTACGTTCCCTATAAAGTCCCTTCCGGGACCAGCCTGGCAAGAGTGAGTAACGGGATCAGAATAAGTTGGGCTTGATATGGCTTCCTGTAGGCAGACTAAGCAGCCTCATACATGGTATGATTGGTGACAGATGGAGAGGCACCATCGGACAGAAAAAATTGACCAAAATAAAAACACCACCACTTGTCACTCCATTTGACAGGCTTTAGTATATAAACCGTTTCTGTGTTCCTCAGAGTTTTTCCATTCTTTAAGGAAGTATTAATTATTAATGTGTAACAAGAATTACTGTTTATAATTATTTCAAAGCATTTTCTCATACATTATATTTAATCTTTACCTATACCTTCTGAGATTGATATTCTTATCCTTATTTTATGGATAAAAACTGGGGCTTGCCAAGGTGTCCTGTCTATGCTCAAATGAATGATAAATAGAAGAGGGGTTTAAGCCCAGGTCTTCAGAACGGATGTTCAGTACTCCCCCTTCTCCCCTTCATGGAGTGTAACAGGATATATAAAAAGTCAGATGGAGAAAGTCATATATACAAGACTGGAAGAAGTGGTTGTCCAAATTCTGGCTTCTCATTTGCATCTCATTTGCAACTAAAGCCAGCTCTGCGTAAAATTTTACCCCAACCTCAAAAATCCCAAATTTGGCCAGTTGCAAGATGTTTTTTCAGATACTGTTTCGAATAAAACCTTTTTCACAGGCTAAATGAAAGGATTCTTTTTTCTTCTGCATTTTAGAATGTTTTCATACATCTTTGGGAGAAAGTCACAATACCTTCTTGAAATAATCCTGATAATTTCTGTGTGTTCCATGTGATTGTCTCTAGAGCTGGGTCAGTTATATTCACTAAAGTATGTACCTGCCACTGCAGAGATGCAAAATCTGGGGGAAAAGGTGGTTTTGCCATGTCCCTTCGCTCAATGTTCTCCTAGGAATCTAATCTTGAATTATTTATTTCTGTTCTTTTACTAGTAAGGCTGCACCATATAACTATTTGAATCTTTTATATAAAGCTCAATAAGTTCACAAGCTTCTTTAAAATATAAAGTAGTTCATCGGGTTTCATTAGAATATCAATCCCACAAAGGCAGAGGGTTTATCTGTTTTATTTGCTACTATCTTCCCAATACCTAGAACAAGGCTTGGGAAGCACTCAACAAATAATTTGTTGAAAGGATTAATTAATCAGGAAAAATTAAGGCTAGAAAATGCTACAGGTTTTCCTTACTAAATATTGAGCATTTCAGGGAAGTATAAAAAATATTTCATTTCTATTGAGTCTTTTTGGGGAAAGAGGATTCTTTCTTACTCCCTTTCTGAGATTGTCAATACTATCCACTTCCTTAAGCCACATCCACAATCTTTTTTGTAACAGCTGGAGTTAATAGTCATGAAGTTACCTCACATACACCTTGAAGGGAAATAGTCATATTATTATGCCCTCTTCAAAAGATTAATAGCGTATTTCATTGAGTAGCTGTAAAAATATGCTCTGAAATAAAATCACAAAATCATAAAGCAACTAAAGAGCCGCATCTTGGGCAAGGACAAATGATTTAATTTTGTCATAAGACTAAATGCACATGAATCTCCAAGTGCATTCAGGAAAACAGCAAGAATTCACTGAAAGGTCCAGTTTTGAGCACATATCACAAATCAGCCATGTGGATACATAAATCGCAGCATATTAAACTACCCCAAAGATAATGCTGTTGTCTCTTGTCACTTTCACCCATTCAACTGGGCCCAAATTGTGCCCCATCATTCATTTGCCAGACGGATGGAGTGTTCACTTGGTTTGTAGTCAAAATGAGTGTGTATGAACTGGAGGGGAAGTTGTGCTGCTCCAGAAGGTATATTTTCAAAAAATAAAACTGTTCATATATTTTCAAGAAGGAAATTAAATACTTTTTCAAGGACTGTCAAATATAGGAAAACTAGGGCTAGCACATAAAATTCCCAGCCAAAAGGGAATGCTCATTCACATGGGGGGATAAAAAAAAGCCCATAATTCTGAATTTTAACCTTTGCCACTTAAATTTTACTTGAGGGCTCATTTTTAGTTTTTTTTTCCTCAACTGCTAGAGCAATCAGAAAGTCATAAAAATTGAAGCTCCACTGTCAGTCTAAGGAATGTTTTATGATATTTTAAACAAAAAAATATATTAAAATGAAAAACAATTCTGATTTTTGGGGGAGAGACTCAACTACCTGCTACCCCCTATGTCGTTACTAAATCATCAAAAATGATGAGACTTTACAGGTGCTTCAGATGCAGGGCTATGTCTATTCAATAGGTAGTTAATCTCTCCAGCCTCATCAGGAAATGTAGAAGATGGAGATTTTTAATTCCAAAGGTTTGTTTTCTTATTTTACAAACTCACTTAATTTTTCAAGAATTTGCACCCTTTATTTAGGTAACTATATAAACTGAGGATTCTAGCCAACTTCCCAACACACACACACACACAACCACACACACAATTGTGTGAATAACCTGCCGTCCTTTAAACAGAGCACAAGTGCGTATTATAGAAACAAATTCAAATAACTACTACCTTCCATTTACCTAGCATTACAGTCTGGTTGCAAGAGACAAGATGGCCATATATGAAACCATCAGAGGACACTACAGGACAACAAGTAATTGTTCAAATGTATTGTAAAGATATGTATAGATAGAGGGAGGAGGAGGGAGTAGGGGTGCCATAACTGTTGAACCGAAAGAGGACCTTCAAGGATACCTCAGTTAAATGAACAAATTTTACAGAATAATGGTTCCCAAACTCAGGACCAGTGACCCAGAGCCAGGTCCTGGACCAGTTTTCACCAGCCTCAGCGAACTGAGAAAAATAAGAATCACAAAGATACATATACTCAATTTAAAAATATCTTTCTAGGGGTGCCTGGGTGGCTCAGTGGTTTAAGCCTCTGCCTTCGGCTCAGGTCATGACCTCAGGGTCTTGGGATCCAGCCCCACATAGGGCTCTCTGCTTGGCAGGGAGCCTGCTTCCTCCTCTCTCTCCCTACTTGTGATCTCCGTCTGTCAAATAAATAAATAAAATCTTTAAAAAAAAAAAATCTTTCTAAGTAGGAATCAGAGACTTTTTTTCTTTTTCATGACGGAATGAATACAAGATAGATTATTATTAATGCCTTTATTTGGCAAAAATAAAAATTAGCATCCCTCTGTCAGTTCCCATAAAATGCAAAATCCAGGGTACAGTGATTTACAATTCACCTTCCTCTGGGAATCAGAGTATTCACTCACCATCAATCAAATTAGATATTTTGCGAGTCGGCATCCTGTCCAATGTTTGTTTGTACACTGGGCGTTGTTGTGGTATCTTTTCACCAGGAACAAACTGCCAGTCCCTGAGAGAAGGGATGCTAATCCCTATTGTAACAGGGAGACTAGACAGTCCCCATGGCTGTAGTGATGATTGTCCCTTCCTGGAGATGACGCTGTCCTCATCACAGAAGAGTGAGCAGCTCCTCAGTGAAAGGCCACCCGTGCCTCCGTACAGCGGAAGTGGCTGAGTGGCCAGTGGGTGAAAGACTCCAAGGAGACTTCATTCTGATGGGTCATGAGTTGAACCATGCACTCTGCCGAAGGAGCAGCCATATTGGCACCTCCCAGACCTCTCAGTGAGTGCTAGTATGTTTGGGGACAGTCAAAACCACGGGACCTGAGATCAGTGGCTCTGTGAGCAGAAGATGACAAAGGGGCAGAGCCATCACCCCATGGATAAACATACATTCTATAGCACAAGGGTCATCCCATAGAGGTAACTTTACCCAAAGGAGTTTCCCCAGGAGGATTCCAAGCCAGTGAAGGGCAGCCCTGTAGACCGTGAGGGGGGCTGTCCTGGAGGTTCACACAGCTGTTCTCCCTAGTTCCAAAGGAGGACGGCCTGGGACACAAAATTGGAAGCGACCTTCACTCTAAGTTTGCAACAGATGTGACAGAATGCAAATCAAGGAATGGTATACGTCTGTGGTTTGCCACTGACATAGTATTAGCAATACTTTCTTTTCTAAAATTTTATCTTGCATTTTATAGCAACCATCATCCAAGTTGCAAGATAAAGCTATAAAACAAAAGAAGTCGTATGTACTATGGTGAGTGCTGTGAAGTGTGTAAACCTGGCGATTCACAGACCTGTACCCCTGGGGATAAAAATATATTATATGTTTATAAAAAATAAAATTTAAAAAAAATAAATAAAAAATAATAATTAATAAATAAATAAATAAAATAAGAGTAAAAAAAAAAACACAAAAGAAGTCAAACCCCATAAAAATCTGATTGCACAAGATGGCCTGGAGAACTTGAAAATGTAACTCACATTAGAAGGGATAAGGTTAAAGGTCAAGTGAGCAGAGCTGGGAAGGTGAATTGAGACCTGTCTGCCCAAGGCTTAGCCCTTACAGGGAGGCTTGGAGTAAACAGGGGCAGCTGGAGCAGAAGGGCAGGGGCTCCAGCCTGAGCTCCCACCTGTAGGAAGGAGCAGGCACAGACAGTGAGAAAGGATTCTGTTTGGGACCAATGGAGCTAAACTGGGAATGTACATTGGAGACAGACTATGGAAAACCCCATGTGCAGGGCAGGGTGCATTTTTCTTATAGATTGTAGGGAGGTACTCATAGTTTCTGAGCAGGAAATGCCAGAATAAAAATAAAAGGGGTAAAAACAGGTCAACCAACAAGTAAATATTAAGTGGGAGAGAGTCTAAAGAAAATAACTTTTGAATGTAGGAAACATTTATAAAGAAAATTTCCTAAAAAGTTTTTATTGATTTGTTGCACTGTGCAGTGAGAGAGAAGCCAAATGTGGCTATGAGGTTTTCAACAACGCTTCTAAGAAAAAATCATATCAGTACAAAAATGGGGATACGAGGAAGGGGAAGGGGGAAAAATGCTCAAATTGGTTTTAGATAAAGAGGGTGAGAAGCGACCGCCTTACATGAGTTCAGGGAGAGCCATATCTCTGGAGACTTGCACAGATTGCTCATCTAGAATTCTGAGAG